CATTTTTGATGCAATGTGTCATATCAATAAAAAATTGTTTATTTGTAATTTAGGATTTTTTTTTAAAATCAATATTATATAACTATTAAAATTTGATTAATTTATATTTATTTAAAATATCGGATTCTAAATTGATACGGATAAAGAGTTATTTCTTAACATATATATATCATTTCTTTGATAAACTGCAATGGTTTTCTCAAGGTTTGTTTACCAGGATATATGTATATTTTTGCCTTTTTCTTTATAATGTTATTGGAAAATAGCATATAAAGAAGGTATTTGACTTGTGCATTCCATATCATAAATTAAATGCATCTAGCTTTTGTACTTTTTAATTCGCTTCAGTAGCTTCTTGAAATGAAAGTCTGCATTTTTATTGATTAAATTTGCAACAACTGACGTCTGTCGGATTTCTGAACTACGGTCCAATTCTTATCGTTGCACGGTTGAAGTTTATTTCCCTTCTTTACTCTTCCTTCGACAGAAAGAGGACCATTATCTACTTCTATTTACAAAAATACCGGAAAGAAATGAGTTCAACTAAAAAGTTGAACTCATTTCTGGTAGATGTAAAGCCGAATTAGACCATAGAATATTCAAGAACTATAGCTTATAACTTATATGTAACTTAAATTAATGTATATAAATTTTCTATAATCTATATATTAAAAATAAAAAAAAAGAAAGAAACTTACTTATATATCTGCATATATATCAGATAAAGCTGGAAATGAAAAATAGACTAGAAATTTACATATTTATTATTCAGTAAAATTTTCTTCACCATCATAAATTAGAAATGGAAATCAAAACATACAATTTCCATTTATAATTTATTTAATAATTTAAATTATAAAAATTTGTTGAGATGTAGTCTAGTAAATAAATCTTTCCCTGTAGGCCTATATTTTAAATGATAAAAAAAAAACAGAAAAAAGAACAGATTCTAAGGTTAAAATATTTGGAATAAAATGCTGAAAAAATAAATAAAAGTTAGATGTTAGCAACAGAACTTATTTAAATTTCATTATTTTTATGTAATTTTTTTTTTCTTCTAAATTTAGTTGACTTGATCAGAACATTTATCGACTGCAATTAAATAAATTTATATTTATTTATATTTAAAATACTTTAGAAAATTACAATTTTAAAGTAAGTTATAGGCATTAGTGATAGTTTACACAAAATATATTTGTTTTAATGTAAAACTTTTGTATATAAATGATAGAAAATCTCTTTTATTTTATTATTTTTTTAAATTTAAATTTGTAGAATTTTTGGCCATTTCGTGGATAAAATTTATTCCGAAAATTTCGTCGTTTCAGCTATAATAGATTTTATCAAAAGCGCATAAACAAACAGAAATTCGAAGCATAATACATTTTTTTTTTTTTTTTTTTCGATAAAACAACATAATAACGTTATAATATACAGTACATTAACACAATTTTGGTAATATTATGTTGTAACTAATCAGATTAATGTTTATGCAGTAAATAAGCTTGATATGATGCAATTCTAACAATAAGAACAACCAAAAAAAACTGATAAAATTACTATTACAGTATTATCATCTCATATTTGAGATAACTGAGTGAAATGATAATTTGATATAATGTTTTGGCCTTTTTATATATTTTTAATCACTTATTCCAAGAAATTTATTTTATAGCAAGCAAAACAAATAATGTTACCTTTATCTCCGATAACTTAATCCTTTTCTCGGGTTCCTTTTCTAGCATACGTTTCAGAAGATCTTTTAGATTATCGCTTACCGCAGGCCTGTATATAATTTTTAAAATATATAACATTTATCGGATCATTTAATAACAAAAACAAATGGCTTACTTGTCGGGAAACTTGAGCGGATCGTTTTTAATTTTATTATACAGATTTAATATGTTATCGTCATGAAAAGGCACTTGGCCATAAACAAAAGAATATAACGTCACTCCCATCTGCCATACATCTAAAGCCTGAGGATCAGAACGAAACATTGTTTTAATTTGGATAATTTAAACAAAATTGTGAAATGTTACCAAACTTTAAAAGCCTACCTTTCCACTGTATGTGTCCAGGTTCTCTGAAATAAAAAAAAATTTTCAAAAGTCAACATATTGATTTTCAAATACTGGATCTATTCATTTATAAAATTAATTTAGGATTAAAGTATTATTGATCACATGATTCCAAAAAAAAAACCAATAGTTCTCCCTATTTAATTAGAAGAAAGGACAGATCTAATTAGCGAGAATAAATTACATTGGATAAAGTTTGTACTTTATTGGAATTATAAACATAGCTCGGAGGGACATTTCGATTATTTATTTGACTTTGTAATATCCAAAACTCTCTCTCCCCAATGTAATTTAATAAATGTATCGATTATTATTTTGGGAGAAGCAACAGTTAAATATTTGTAAATATTAAACAAACCATCACTTCAATTTTAATGCTAATTTTATGAGGTCCTGGAAGATTCTCTCCGACTCTTAGTTAATTTACAAGAAAAAGAAATGCTACCTTTCAGTGCTTCGGGTGCCACGAAGGCGGGTGTCCCGGCAGTGTCCGAGAGCAGGGCGTCCACTCCTTCGAACTGATTACACACGCCAAAATCCGAAATCTGAAAATTCCGTGGCATTACTTTAAAATTTTTAAGAATAACCTATTCCAAAGAAGTGGGGACTACCTGAACTCTACCATTGTCATTCAGGAGAAGATTTGAAGGCTTGATGTCTCTGTGTACTATCTTCTGACAGTGTACTACAGGGACAAAGAAAAAATAAATGAAAGTAAACGCATATTTCTTTTTTCTAACTCTTATGCGTAAACAACACTTACAATATTCTATACCTAAAACCACATCTCTGAAATATTGCCACGCCTGCATCTCCTGTAATGGATTGTCTGTTGGGATTTCTACAACCGGCCTGTCCAAACAAAACAGCGGAACCAATAATTCATAAACATCAAAAGCGTACTTTCGTTGTACCATTAATATACTTACCCCTTTTCTAATAACTCAAACACTGTAAATATTTAAAATAATAATTTAACTCACTTATATTTTAAATTAAAAGCGCATAATGTGGCTATTCTTACCCATGTATAAATTATCCTCATCAGGATCATTTAAAACCTGAAAGTATAATAGATAAGGTAGGGTGAGAATCTACAGTTTAGGGATAAAGTGTTAATAAAATATACCTCTATTAAATTCACAACGTTGGGATGATTCAACTTCTTAAGAATGGCGATTTCTCTGTACACTTGGTCTATGGGATTTGTGATGCTCTTCCTTTTTCCGTCTCTGGGAGGAGGAACGCGACCTTCAGAGAGTTAAAACGTAAATTATTACTTTCACTTTATTACATTCTCCGCCGACATATCGAATAACGTCTTTATCTCGTCCCACTTCACATATTTTATACATATTTATATAAATATATAAAGAGAGAGGAGTTCCCTACACACAAACTCTCTTTTAGAAAGGAGCCTGTGAATATAAACACCGCATTACTACCTAAACAAACTGAATAATCGAGACGTGCGTCACGAGATGGGATTTACATACGGATTAAACACATGCTTTTCTTAGACGGGGGTTTATAAACTTTGTACTCGTCGATAAAGTAAAGAGAAGGACGACGCTTGGCTCCCGTCACTCGCCGTCTCGAACGAGAAAAATAAAAGATTTTTGATGGACGAGTATTTCTGACACCGGGGAGACAATACCCAGTTAAACAATAGCGTCACAATCGACAGAAATTGCCGTTAACGTCACGGAAAATGGAAGGCGAGTGAATTGTAGTGTTATCGAAAGTGTGACCTGTGTTATCGTCAGAGATATGACCCAAAATAATAATAATTTGGATCGTTACTTAGGTGCCCAGTAGAAGGAAATCTCGTGTAATAAATGGGAAACGTAAAAAGCAAAAAAAAAAATCGAATTTTCATTAAAACAAAAATGAGATTTGAATTATAATGGGTTCGAATCCACTCCTTTTCCTCCCTCACGAAAAGTTTAATAAATACAGTAACAATTAGTTATGGTGGAGCTGTCCATAAATGGCGTCCACACTGGAGGGGGAGGTTAAGATAAGTCGGAAAAAATCGGGGGAGGGAGGTTGAGTTTCAGTGGACGTCTTCCCCTCCCCTCGTCTTAACCATTAAATTTTATAGTTTATGCATTTTATTATATTTATTTTAAAATGTCTTGTATATTTCGTTTCTACTTACGGTATTCGTCATTCATAAAGTGACAAGGCTTTAAGGGGATCGAGTTTTGTCGGACGTCCGAAGAGGGGAGAAGAAGTAAAAATTTCAAGAAAAATACGGACGGACAGTCCCTAATATCGTCACAATGCCGGGCTGCAATTTTTAA